CTGTACTTATATCATTTGAGATGAAGGGTAGGATAAACGGGACCCTTCTATCGCTAGAGTTGTCGTTTGGAGGCCTACGATTTCCTCTACATCTATTCTAAGCTACAGTTTCGTAGCCATTAGAAACGGCTATTTGCCGTGCCAAGTTCCGGGACTCCTCTCTCTGCTCTCTTCCCGTGCACACGTTGGTTGCTGTTCGAAACATGTTTCTTATAAGCGCCCTTTTCGTGTGAGAGGGGTGAGAGGAGAGGTAATGAACCAAGATATTTTTACTACTTGGCTTTCGGTACCACTTTGTAATGTAGCCATTTTCTGATAGGTGAATCTGTACGTTCAAAAATGGAAGCCATTTTTCTTTAGGCTTTTCTCGGGTGAACTTGATATACTATGACTGTGCGTTTAACAATTCGAAGCATTTGTCCATTTCCTCTTGTGTTGAGCAAAGGACAAAGCAGTCGTCTACATACCTACAGTAGAGTAGCGGCCCGAGATCAGTCACCGGTGCTTCCACCTTAGACATAAATGCAATGGCAAGGCTTGGAGCCAGTCGTTGTCCCATTGCCAACCCTCTTATTTGAGCGTAGTACTTTCCAGACCATCTGAAGATTGAGCAGCTCAAGCATTCTTTTAAGAGTGCCATCAGGTGCTCTATCCTGAAGCCATACATGTTTATTTCTCCTTCGTGTTGTGTAAGGAGTTCGAATATGGCTTGCATTGCGGAGTCATTCGACACGTTTGTATAAAGGGCGGTAACGTCGAAGGACTCCATCACGCACGCGCTGTTGAGCTGCGCAGTACGTAGACGATCCAGAAACATCTGGGTATTCGTAAGATGGGCTGGAATGTGTTTCAACAACTGGTTAAATATTAGGGTTAAAAACTATGCTAGGGTTTTCGTTCTCTTGGAGTTCCATAAATGCTTCCCCACTGTTGTATTTTGTCGATTTTGCGAACTTGACAGTAACGGTGTATGCAATAAATTCTTTGATTGCATAAGAGACAATGATCGCCGTACATGAAATGTTACACAGAGGATGTTGATTTTTAGAATGCCACATGAGCTCTCTTCAAGCTGTGTAAGACAACTTCATTGCTTCAGAATCTGTAACGAATTGAAAACAAAGATGAGGGAACTATAGTGTTGGGACCGCCTGCTCGGCTGTCCATAGGTGGTAGTGAGAAGGCAACAACCGTATTGAACATATTCACCCCAACCATCATAGTTATATGTAATATAACAAAATACTCGATATACTACTTGAATTTCATTTCCACTTTATTTCTTCTCTTTGGTTGTTCGGAATCCACTCCGGCTTTCTAATCAAAACAGATTATTAATGTTATTAATGTCCCAGTTTCGCTGTGATGCTACATTTTTACTGATTCAGTGTTATTATTATTCACTGTGTGCAGGAAGCCGAATGGCTGGAGATGCAGTGCAGTACACTCATATTAGCCGTTTGCACACTTCTTTGGGACTGTCAAGTTTTCCATGCATCCACACAGGGTAGAATGGTACTGGGTTTGTCTCGGGAAATCTCCTTGCGAGCCACACATTCAGTCGACACAGTCGACTAACCGTAGTGAGAACGTGGAAATGCTCTGAACGATGTCTCCAAATATCGTAGTGCAAATATATCTCACTAAATTGATTCTCTTCTGAGCCTCTGTTTTCTCACACGGCCGTTTTTCCATTATTTTCTAAATGTTGTTCAGAATGTGGCGGTTAATTGCCACAAAGATAAGACACGGTGAACAGAATGGATAGTAGTGTTTACTTTTTTTTGCAAAACACCGAATAGCAAGTATATGCGGTGGGCAACGAACACGCTATTACCCTTTCCGGGGCTGACGCGTTGACCACCACGAAAGTATAGCCCTTGCCATTTATAACGGTCTTGGGATTTCGTTGCTTTCTTTCGAGACAGTATTTACTCATCTCAGCCACCGTGAAGACGTTGTATTTAATCTTATCGGCTTGCATCGTGCGTAATAAAAGCTTATTATGTGAGCCTTATTTCCATTTAAGTTCCTTCCTACTGCAATATTTCCTAGAATTATTAAAACTCAGCTTTAGCTCTTCAAAACGATCAATTTAATCCATTCGAGGAAGTTCAGTCGACGTGGCTCCATTGGTCCAGTAAAAACATGGATCTTTCCAGTGAAACATACTGCTTGGCTACCCTTGGCGATCAGTTTGTGAAAAGTGGATTGACACGGTGATCCATCTACCGTAGAAGTTAACAAAAACAAGTTGTAGAAAGCGAATAGAATGTTGAATATTCTAGAAAGTGTGGAAACAATGCAGCGACAACATACACTTGGAAATCAAATGAATATGAGGTTCTACATCTAGAAATTAATCAAAAAATAAAATACGTAGAAGAAATAGGAATCATGGCTACAACGCCTCGATACACACATGACTTAAAAACAAACATTTGCTGGCGACGAACCAATTCTTCAAAGTCGTTGATCTTTCCATCCAACTTCTAAACAGTAATAAGGCGGATAGCACAGTGGTAATGATGTCCGTCAGCAAGAGTATGGTGCTAGTTCGATTCCGCATTGGGCCAACCAAGCCTCTCATCCCACCGGGGTCGGAAAATTGGTATCGGACTTGTCTGAGAAAAAAGTCACTCTCTGCATACCAATTGGGAACGCTCCAGCCCGGCTATCTCAAGACTCCAGAAAGAGTTCCTCGACCA